ACATGTTGCTGTACAGTTTTTTTAAAAATAATTTTTCACCATAGAAAATCTTATCTGTTAATTGTCAGACAGAGAGGAACAGGAATGTTTTCCAACCAACCGTGATGACGCTGGCGCGTAATAACGTCATATGAAAATATGGTTTTTCATCCTACCACCTGTGTAATTGGCACGGTATTACCGGATTTTAATACAGTAAGCAATTATAAGCATTATATTCACTCTAAAATTGAAAGAAACCCATTGCACTTTTTAAAGTCCGTGAGCTCGTCAACCTTACGTCAGCGATACGCTCACTCAGGCACGTGTGCGTCGTAAACTTAATCATTCAGCATGTTCACCCCCAAGGAAAATGTCAGATTTTTTCAAGACTTTCTCGTAAATATTCACATTTACCAAATCAACTGGCATCCGTAAATTTTATTTTTTTTAAATTGAAAATATGTGGGGCTAATTGAACGCGCAGGTTTTGAAGGTGATGTAAGCCCAGCTAATCTCGACCAACAAGGGGCTGCCCTGTCTGAAGGGTTGAATAAATATCCTTATAAGAAAGATTAATGCCCTGATGAATTTCATGCACAAGAGAATCAAGGTTGTGAAAGACGCGCGAGGGATGTATTGAAAATTTTTATTTTCATTTTTGGGGGTACCGTCATATGAATTTCAATAACTTACTAATTGTCAGTCAAAATGAAATGAAATTTCGGTAACTTGTTCATTAAAGATGGGTTTAAATTTTAGACAACTATGCTGGAAAATATCTTCGAAAAAATAATATTAATTCACTTCAAAAATTTACCCTGCGTTTCTTTTTCCTTTCAGTATAGTTAAATCTGGTAATAAAACTGCCGGTGGTCGTTGCTATACAGTGTTAAATTAAAATATACCTTCAACAAAGCATTTTAAAGAAGACTTTGTTCCTCAAATTCGATGCTGCAAGTATATTTGCGCCAGTTCCAGAAAAAAATAAGATTTGTTGAGATTTCAGGAGAATAGGGGCCGTAACAGAGGATTAACATTTGATTAAAGAAAAAGAAAAACGAAAGCTTATAGAGATAATTTGAATGGTTTTAAAATCCGCATGAAAGAATTAAAAATTTCTGAAGAAATAAATATTCAACATCAAATTTTTATGCAATTTTGTAAATCGTTTTATGTCTTCTGATTTTAAAATATGTCAAATTGAATTTGTTTCATGGCAAGATTGTTTAGATTGAAACTTTTTTGCGTTGAATAAAGTAATCGAACTTTAAGAAAATTAGTCCTATCATAGAAAGTTGTGAAACTTCAAACAATAAATTGAGTTCTGACCACATAAATTCGCCTGAAATGAATACTTTAAGCATTCGAAATGTTACCTTAGAAAAGACTTCTAGTTGTAAAAAATGAAGATAACAAACAGTGATCGATGTCAAAAAAAAAGCAAAACGTTTTTTTTCTTTTTTGCCATAACTTCAAATTGGGCTTCAAACATGTTCAACGGAGGATGAAAAAAAGAGAGACAAAGCATATAAAACTGGGGGAAAAAAACTGAATACAGAGAGAAATAAGATAAAATCAACAGAAAAGGTGGAGGATCAATGAAAAATTTTGCCGCAAATTGATAATGTTGATTGAATGCTACATTACATGTATTACTTTCCTCCTTCAATTCAAAATTATTTCCAGTATTACCAACAACGTTTCACAATCTTCCTTGATATTAAAATAAATTTAATGAAAATCATGTCAAAATGTTTGGTATGAATCAAAATCTATCTATAAAAGAAAAAGACGAGATTAAAAAAAAAAATCTTTTCAGAAGTTTGTCTATTTAATATGTTAATGTCATGAAAAGCAGTTCCTATTAACAATTATGTAATTCATGCGACTGGGAATAAATCTAGCCGTTCGACTTGTGGTCGAATGTGTTCGACTTACGATCTATTTGGTATCTCGGGCTTTTTCTATTAATAACAATCGTTTCATTCAGTTGCCACAGTAAACAACACGCTAAAATGACGCTTTAGGCACACATTTCGATACATCTCTGGGTTTATGGCACGCATAATGTACCCTGTTGTCAACACTGTCGGTGAATATAGATAGGCGTTCGACTTGCGATCAGTTTACCCTACGAAGAATATCACAGTGCACTCTGTGCCTTCACATCTATGAACTACCAAAATATGACGTCATAATGGAAAATGACGTTAAGTCACTGCAACCTTGAAGTGTTATGACGGGGAGAGTGTCATGAACTTTACACTTTATTTCAAACTGCATGTAAAATGCTAGATAGTTATTGCAAAATTCACGGGTTGTTAAAGGTTTTTAAAGTCTTATATGTCCGAAAATTTTAAAAATACACCGCTTACCTACCCTTGATTGAAATTCAGCATGTTCAAAATGCTTATGAAAATATACTTTTGAAATGTACTGTTTTATACCCGTTGTTGGAAGTAGAATTTATTTTGTGTATATAAAAGAGTCTGGCGCAGATGATTAATAAGGATTAATCTGAGAATTTTTGTGGAAATCTGTAAGAAGAGGTTGTTGTCTAACTGAATCTTGCTTGGGGAAAATGTATGTTGGCTTTGTTTTAATACAGATTACGATATTGTGTGGAAAATACCCTCAAATTTGTAGGTAAGTTGAATTTCTCAGGAAATATTTTGTACCCAAGTAATACTATGACTTTTCCCAAGCACATTTCGGATACACAAGGATGCGATGAGTTTATTTATATAACAAAATATTAATAATTATTATGTTAATCAGCTGCATTAATTGATATAATACCCAGGCCCGTAGGAAGCAATTTCACTTTGAGAGGGCACTATCGACTACCAAAATTCCTTGACAAGCAAAAAAAAAAAAAATTAAAAAAAGACGTTATTTTTGAGGGGGCACAAGCATGTAGTAGCTATGTTTTCTATAGTATTCTATATATCGGCAAAATTATTGGGGGGGGGGGCACGCCCCCCCCCGTGCCCCCCTGGTTCCTACGGCCATGATACCTATCGATATATCTAGATGTCGAGTTAAAGACCATGGCAAGTGTTTTCATCTTCTCGTTTTTAAGTTTTTGAATAAATTCTGCTTCATATGATCTGCTAATACCGAGGCGCAATTATTACCCATGGGAATTCTTAAACATCGTTGAAGACCTGATCTCCAAAAAACTACAAATTAAAGTTATTGTCAATCAGAAACTCAAGCATCTTTTTAAAATTACCTTCAGTGTACTTTTGTGTACATTCAAAATGTTTTAACAAAATAATTTTGCAAATGACCAATGACAAGGTAAGTAAATTAAAAAAAAAAAAAAAAGAAACCTCAAATACGTTCGAACAAACATATAATTCGCTAAATTTGTCATAGCAAATACCCAGTTCGTCTGAACTTTTCAAAAACAATTAATCTACTTTCTTCTATATTTAATAATTTGTCCGAAGGAAGAACTTATTTGTGCACCAAACTGAATATCTCGTTCGTACGAACGAAGAACAAACTTGTTATAACTATTACCTTATTTGTCAGAACATTTTCGTCCAAACCATTATATAGTTCAGCAGGCATGTTCACGAAACTTTCCTAAGATATGTCCTAAGATTGTTCCTATGAAAGTTAGGAAGAAAGTAAGGAACATCCTAAGATCAACTTAGGACATATCATAAGATGTAGCTCGACGGTATCTTAGGAACATCTTAAGTTAGGATATCCTAACATACGTTGAACAATATTGTTTCGTGAACATGCCTGCAGGCCCGTAAGAAGCAATTTCAGTTGGGGGGGGGGGGGGCACAACCATACATTTTCAGTTGGGGGGAGGGCACTATATCAACTTCCAAAAACTCCTTTACAAGAAAAAAAAATTATAAATAAATAAATAAAATAATAATAATAATAAAGCATATAGTAGCTAATTTTCAATAGTATTCTATATATCGGCAAAATTATTGGGGCCCCGGTTCCTACGGCCACGTAGTTTTTCTTTGCTTCAATTGCACCATACTATTGTATTATATCCAGTAATTATAAAAGTTATGGCCTGAATTCATGGATTTTTGTAAAGTTAAAGCTATTAAGATTCTAAAATTACAAAGTGTATAACTTTAAAAATAAAAAAAAAAATAGAAAATGAATGTTTATGCTTTCAAGGTCATTATAATGACCCAGGAATTTTCGAAATTGAGACCGTTGAAAGTCCTGATACATTATCTTATTTGTCAGTATCCTGTCTATTAATAATAAATAATTAAATAATAATGTGCATATAAGTTACTTCAATGAAAAATCCCCCCCCCCCCAAAAAAAAAAAAGAAACCATTATTTTGGCTATGAAAGTAAAATGTTCCATTATTAGATCCGCATGATGCCATCGGGGTCAAACGGTAAACCGTAACCTGAAACGATAAATTAAAATAATTCCTAAAATAATGAAAACATACAGATATTATTCAAAATATAGAGGATATTCAATGTTTTGTAGATGAATGTGGAATTTATTTCACGAGTGGGACAGGATTTTTTTTTATATTGTCACGAGTGCAAAATAATATTCAAAATATAAATTCTTACGGCATTTTTTCATATTTCATATTTCACAATGTGAAATGGGACTGGATAAATTACGCACTTTTCAAGAGGACTTCAACGACAAAAATCGCACATGGGAAAACATTCTGTCAATAAATATTTTAAAATACGATTGAACTGACAGAGGTAATTCTTCGTAGTAATTAATTAATTGTATGTAGCAGTACCGTTAAATAAACATGTATGTTACATGCCAAAAAGGGTCCTGATTTGAAGAAAAATAAATAAGTTCAAAAGGGACACCTTCTTCCTAGTACGAGTGATATCCAGATGTTCATACCACAGTTCTTCCTGAATGGATCTATAGAATTGGTTTGGCCATAACCATTGTGTAATGTATACAAAAATGAATTAAGATCGGGATCAACAGTCATAATATTGTTTATAAAGTCGCCCCATTCCAGACGACTGTGTGTGAAGTGACAGAATCATAAACATGCATGTCGATCGAAGAACTTTAACATTCCATTATGGTTAATGCTGAAATGAATTTATTTTTTTAAACAATCATGAGTGGACGAGCTGACGATCTCAGTAAAGAGCAGGAAGATTGTCTAGAAAAGGTAAATGGAGGATTAATAACTGTGCATATATATATCGTGCCAGGATATATATGTATATTGATCTATTAGAAATTAGATTTAGAGTACATCAGAAAAAAAAAATAGTTTCTCACTGTGTGTTAATGACACGAGTGGGAATATACATCAAAAACATAATTCTTATATCCTTTTATTACATTCTTTGAATTACAGTGCTTAGGGTACTAAAATAACATACATAAGCTTGATGCCCTTTTTCCCCGTCATGTTTTCTAAATAAAAGTTTTAAAGTGTCCTACATTTCGATAAAAGCTCTATTGGCTAAGATAGAGTTTTTGTAGCACATCTATCCCTTAAAAAAACCTTGCATATGTTAAACTTGAATTGATAAACCTTTAAGGATTTAAATAATTACTTTTGAATAAATTATGCTATGCATGTATTTTTCAGATTTTTAAATAAAGCCAAAAATTGATGACGTTTATTGCATGTATGAAGTAATGTACATGTATGTATTTCAATATGACCTGATTCATGTACTACATGTATGTAATGACCATTCTGGGAAGTGATTATAGGTTTAATAAATGAAAAGGTTCTTTGTAACATCATATTAACCAGGATAATTTTTTATGTGTATTAGTTGAATAGTTTTACTTCTAAGTCGAGAAATCCTTACATAATATGCATGTTTGTGACATAAATATACAAAAGAGGCTTTAAGTTGAGAGGATGTGCTGAGTTTCTGCATGATTCAAATAAAATAGTACACCAGTTGAATGATTCCTTAAATCTTAAGCATATGCAGAGGAAATGCATTGTCAATTTTTGGTGCATCAAGTTATAGAATTATTCCTTTTTCAGTTTAAAGAAAGAGTAAAGGATGTTTTAAAACAATCCCATGATGATCATTATCTTTTAAGATGGCTAAGGGGTAAGTTGATAATAAAGTATTTATTTAACATCAGATATAGTATTTTCAAAAGTCCAATTTTTGTACTTTTTTGTCTTCAGTTTACATTGTATATTGAGGAAATTAAATTTATTTTGCAGCAAGAAATTTTGATTTGAAAAAATCAGAGACTATGTTGAGAAATGTAAGTGTTATGGATCTATCACTTATAGAATTTCTACTATATAACCTATTATACTGTAAAACTCGGTTATAGGGAAGTTCTGGGGGTCTGCAAATTTACTTCGCTATATGATTATCCGTAATTTGTTTTATCTGTAAAACGAATTTCTTAAAGTATACAAAGCGAATTCACAATATAGATTTTATCTTTCAAGTATGCATGACAACAAAATGTATTTATGAAAGTATAAAATACAAAATTTACCTCGGAGTTCAAAAGTTTTCGGATGAATAGAGTTTCAAATATATATACTTACAAAATTGATGTCAGTTCAATTAACTTCAATATTTTAAAAATTAAGATCTTTGAAAATTTGCTATAAAAGATTTAAATTTCTTTTTTTTAACTTGTAGGGGAGACAGAATCAGTATACTATATAACTGTAAATTTGCTATATCTAAGTTTGTTATATCTGTAAAATTTTACTAGGAATTGTTCAGAATTTCTCCAGGGATTGCAAAAAAACTCCGTTATATCCATAAATTTGCTATATCCTTGTTTGTACTGAACAAGTTTTACTGTAACTAGAAGTTATGTTTAAATGGTTAAGTTGTTTAATATTACTGTTAAAACATCAGTTTATATTACTGCTTTTTCAATGTCCAGAAATACAGATTTATCCAACCATTTTGTTTACTAAAGTTCTTCAAAGTTTTCATTAAAAAACAGTGAAGATTTCATTGGTTCTGTATGAAAACTAAATTATCTCCCTTGATTCTTCAGCATATTGCTTGGAGGAAACGAGAAAATGTAGAAAATATACATGACTGGGAATGTCCAGAGGTGATCCAAAAGTACTTTACTGGTGGTCTGTTTGGACATGATGTGGATGGATGTCCAGTCTGGATTGACCCATTTGGACAGATAGATTTGAAAGGTATATTTATATGCATGCATGCAGACCAAATTTGTGGGTAGTAATAAACAGAACTTAAATGGACACACAGGATTTTTTTCAGTGATTTTAAGAATTTCATGCATTGTCACAACACCTGTAATTTAGATATGTTAGAAAACAATGTTTTTAAAGAAGTTGATAAACAGACTGAAAAGAAGTGACTCTCATAGAAAGAAATATTAATGTACATGAAAAAATTAATAATTTTCATATAAATATAGACATATATATAAAACTACAATGAAAGAAATACCTGTAATCAAGTATTTGTAATCAAATTTAATATACACAAAATAATATTTCATTAAAAAAAGCAACAGACAGTTCTATTGTGCATTTTGTATTTGAAGCCTTATATCATATTTTATCAGAGAAATGATAATTATTATAAAGCTGTTTTTTACTAATTGGGAAACAAGCCATTTCCTCACTTAAGGAATTTAAGGAATGTTTTTAAGTTTTGTCAATTGTGCGAGTTATTGGTGTGCAAATCACACAAACTTGTCAAGTAGGCATATTTCATGAAGCGCCTTAGTGCAAGTCTATGTGATTTACACACCAATAATTCACAGTAAACTTAAAAACATTCCTTATATTTACATTTTACATGTTTAAAAGCACCAAAAATATACTCAATGTTTGAATTTCTCACTTCCCTATATCATTATATTTTTATTAACATCGCTGTAGTCTCATTGTGACATCTCATGATTATTTCTATACTACATGCGAGTATACACAAAAATGGCATTCAAATGAATTTCACAGTTGGCTTTGTAGAAAAACACAGCAAATGTAAACATTATATGATGTATATAATCAAAATGGCTAAATCACAAATATTAATCATCATACATGCTAGAGATTTTCAGTGTACTTGAATAATTTGCAAATATAAAGGATTCACAAAATTATTTACAAATGTAATAGTATTTTTAGATCTGTTACCTGTCAATAAAGTATCATTGATAAAAATAAGAAACAATAAATAGTTTTTGCAACACAAATAAAAATTTGATCAGGTTAGTAAAATGTACATCAGTACTAGCCTGATCTAAATAAGACTGGATGGGAAATCTTTATTTCTTTTTGTGTCACCTGCAGAGCTTAACAACACTTTGGGATCACTTTACTTGGCATCTGTCTCTGTCCATCCATCTGTCTATCTGGGCATTTAGCTGTCCATCTGTTTGTCTGTTAGACCTTATATCTTGAGAATTGTAAGAGGTACGGATTTGAAATTTTGCACAATATCTATTGTTTAGCATTTTGGCTTTTGTAAAATACCATGGTCACCAACCTCATGACCCATGAACTTGACCTTTGACCTACTTTTCAAAATAGTTCACTGTGCTCACACACATACATGTGATAAGTCAAAGACCACAAAACTGTACAGGAGCCATAAAAAAAAACTGGAATTTGGTTGAAAAACTGTACACTGCCTATCAGAAAACGGTACAAAAAAATGGTATAAAATATCGCTTAAATTCTTCTGAAATTCCATTGTAATCATTGTAATAAACATCGTATATTTTATACCTACAAAGATCTGGGTCAGATTCACGTATATTAAGACTAAAGTCATGTATATCAACTTTAGAAGTTGGCTTAATTTTTTTCAATCAAGTTACGTATACGAAACATTACCAGTAATTAAGTACCCCTTAAAAAATAAAGCTACCTAAAGGGGTATTTGATACGGATTTATAGCAAGATAATTATCCCAATTGGCAGTTCACACCTTCGCACGCGATGGTTTGTGTACACTACACAATTATCAGAAGGTCAAGTGTCAAACACAGGTGACGTTTTCCAGTGTCTCGCGAGCGAGAATGAGAGGAAAATGGCGGCATTTAGCGAGAAATTCAAAATACTGTACAAATTTTCATATTCCGTTAATCTTGGTGTCCCGCCGGTACACGATGAATGGGCTCAAAAAACTGTACATTTTGTGTACAGCCTGTACATATCACATGTATGGCTCATACACAGCATATTTTTGACATTTAAGAGGTAAGTCTATGGTATTTAGTATGTGCACTATTTGTCATAAAACATTATACAACAGTGTTAAAGTCTATTTGACCTTGACCTTTGACCTATGTTGCAAAAATACTCTGGATAGTTGATTTAACCTGCCTGTGTTTGATGAATTTTGAGAGGCAGTTTTTTTTTCTTATAATTAGCAGTTATATCACATGTTTATGAGTTCATGACACTGTACTTTGAAACTGTGTACTATACAGTTATCACATAAACTGAAATTTAAAATACTTTGAAATTACATTGGTATACCAAAAGGATCTTTGTAAACTGATAATTGCATTAAAGACAGACTGAAATCTCTGTTGGAATATAGATTGATTAAACTTGTGTTAATTAGATAATTTAAATCAAATTCATTATTCATTTGAGCTTTCAGGGCTCAGGAATCAGACATCTATTTGATTGCCAGATTTTCTATGATAAATGCTATTTTATTGCTCTTACTATCCATGGATTTTTTTTTCTTTGCAGGCAAATGCCTGTACTATAATTGTAGTAGCATATAAATAACTGACTGTCTGTAGATTTATTTTAATCTTTAATTAAGGATGCTATAAAGCAGGCAACACATGCGTTACTTGGAACACTCTAGTTTCTATTTACTGATTAAAAAAAGTCTTTAGTATAATTTAAAACACTTTTAATTTCTTTTCTTTTGTCTTCTGTATCTCATATACACATTGAATCAAATCTATTTGGCTATATCTTGGATGAGATTAAGTTTCTGGCTAACTGCAAGACATATATATTTTCTAACCCAGTGGTAATGCTTCATTTCTTTCTTGATCAACTGCTGGTCAAGTCATGTACATTTCCTTGCTCTCTCTAATACTCAATAAGGAAGTTTCTTTGGCTGCATTATAAAAGTTTAGTGTGATTCTTACTATTTAGAAAGTTGCTTTCAGGATGAAATAACCTTGGAAAAAGATAATTAGAGCATAATGGAGAAAAGTCAATCTTGTTAAAAATGGATCTTTCTTCTCGCTCTTCACTTATTGATAAGTTGTTCAGGTATCATACATGTATCTTACCAAAGAATATACCGATATTTCCAAGTTGTTCAGTGAAAGCTGGGATAAAACTCAGTTTTTTCAGCTTGCTTTATATCTCTTTGATTTCATTTTCTCAATGTAAATAGGAATGTTAAAGTCAGCAAAAAAAGCTGATGTTATCAGAGCCAAAGTTCAGCTCCTTGAAAAGCTTCACAACAAGACATTTCCAGAATTCAGTGCAGAGGTAAATTCCTAGTGTTTTTCACTTGAAACAACAATTGAATATGGGGTACCATATTGTCACTATTGCTCACATCAGTGTTAGATATTTTTTTTTCAGTCATTCAATAAAGTACTCTAAAACTAGTATTTAAGGGCAAAATATTCATTTACTATAGTTTATGTAGTGAGAAAAAGATTAATAATGAAAACATTTATAATTTACTATATTTACAGAGAGGGAAGAGAATAGACTCTCTAGTTATCCTGTATGACCTTGCAAAGCTTGGGATGAAACACTTGTACAAACCTGGTAACAAATATTATTGTTTCATCTTTATTAGTAAATTTAATGATTTATGAGGGGTGATCAAAAAGTTCCCAAACTATCTCTATATTTACAAAACCAAAATTCAGATCAGATTGAAATATGGCACAAATATAGTCATACAAATGTTCTATAAATAGCAGATGGTATGTGATGTTTTGCTCCATGTTTGTGATGTCACAGTGTGAAAATGATGTCTATGTAGATGACTTGTGACAAAAAATGGTTGACTTAGTTGTATTCGAGCAACGAATGGCTGTAAAGTTTTTCGTTTATTTTGGAAATTCCTTTGCAGTAACATATAATAATTTGTACAAGGTTTATGATTGAACTTCTGGCAAGCCTTTTGTCTTAAAAGGCTTGCCAGAAGTTCAGTCATTAATTGGATTTTTTGTTTTTAGTGAAGGAAGGGAGATGGTTAGATATGATGTTTGTTCTTTTGCCCAGTGAAAGCAAGCTGGGGAAGAGATGTGTCCTTAGTTGAGCAATTTGTTATGAAAGATCGCCTAGTTACAGTTAGAAAAATAGTTGAATATCTTAACAATAATATAATTATTAAATCCCTAAAATATTGTTTACTTTAGACTAAAAACATATTAAATACTAGATGCTGTCATGAGACAGTAATACCCACACTAAGGTGTTTGCCTCTAAATGCACACTCCTTCATATTGGGCTTACCAAGGAAAAAGTCCAAATAATTCTATAATTTACACAGTACATGTATTCGTCAAATCGAACATAAAATGCTCAGGTGACCATGTGACCCATGAACCTCTTATACGCATTTCATATACTTAATTCATTACCAGTCTGAAATAACAGAATTTAATTAATGATGTAAATTAGGTTTTGATAAAAGGGGGGGGGGGGTATAAATTGTTGGCCCATTTTTAATTGGAACTTTTAAAATTTATTTTCTCAACAACAAATAATATTATTTTAGTACAAAGCGTTTTTGATGAATTTATCAAAATGTGCAAACTTTTTTTAGTATTTGATTAGGCAAAAACCTCCTTTAAAAGCCATACCCAATCAATTTTGTCACCTCCCCCCCCCCCCCCCCCCAACACACACACACAATTTGCCAGTTTTTGGAAATAGGCCTAGATGGCAAAGTTATGTTAAAACATCGTTTGTTATGATAATTTAAAATTTGTTCTTGTACTGTACATGTATGTGAACATCTTTTTGAAAATTTCTACATCACATTGGGCTTGCGTCACCCTACCAGTACTAGTACTAGTTTTACCATTATCATTTTTAGATTGCACATGCCATGTGACATGGTGCAGTGTTACATGTATATCAGTGGAAATTAATTCATTTTGTGTTTTAATTGGATTATATTTCATGAAGTTGACAGGACCTATGACAGTCGGTAAGTACAAGTTTAAGTATAGATTGGGGTAAAATAAACCGAAATGCAAATGGTTAGGTTAAAGTTTAAAAAGGATCAAAGATCATCGGCAATCTCCTACGCAGAGTTGTCGTTCGTTTCTCTCTACCGAATGTATGAGCCGATGGTAGAGAGTGGATCATCAGATGCCACAATAGACGAATTTCACATTCTGAAGAGTTATCTCCCGTTGTCGACATTACATTCAGTTACAGGCACAGATCCGGGAATTTTTTTCCGGGGGGAGGGGGGGGGGGTTCCACTCCTCGGTCCAAAAAATTCCAGCCCAGAATTTCCTGAGGAGCAAAAAAACAAAAAAAAAACAAACAAACAAAATAAAAACAATGATGGTGGGGTCCATGTTTTTAAAGGGGGAGGGCATATCCAAAGTCATTTTTTATTTGCTTCTGTAAATCAGTATATAGTCCTATTTAAATAACTCCAGGGGGGGGGGGGGGGGTCCAATCTCCCTAGCCGCTCCCTGTCCCTGAAATGACAAGTGATCATGTGATTCCTAAATAGTAGAAAACTTTTCCATTTGACTATACATAATTTTGTTTCTTGTGTATTATGTTATGTACATCTAATGGTTTAAGGTTATGAACCCCTGGAGGTCATCCCCCCTCTCTTAATGAACTGGAATTATGTTCATAATATGACTACATCAAATTAAATAAAAGTGCATCAATGATAAGATTACTTGACATATATTTCATTCATGAATTTGGGTATACCCATGTACCCTCCTAGAATTAGGAATGAAAATCATTCAAAGAGATGGACCATTAAACTATTTGTATATATTCACATTTTTTTTATGTCAAACCAAAGTATTAGACTAGTTTGCATACATGAACAAACAGGGGTCTGGGAAGGGGAAGGGGCAAGGGGAAGGAGTTATCTCTTTACGTCTTATTTGTTGAAAATTCCTAAAATGAATGTTAACCTCAAATCCGACTTGCACGTCTTCATTATTTTTAAGTGGTGGTGTCTCCGTATGAGTGAAAAATTCCCAAGAGGGACATTTAACAACAAACAAACATTATGACTTAAAAAGCACAATATACATGTACATGTTTATTAGTCAACGGATATACTTCTGATCATATCTCTAGTTCTCCCTTGAATCAGAAATGATGATATAAATATTTTAAGAATGATTAAGAGTTGAAAAGGTTGTGCATTTTAAAATTCACTAAGCTCTGTGGTTGAATTAGCTATACCAGTTTAGCTTATTTTGCTACTCAAAGCACCTTGATTAACTATTTTTAATCATACTGTTTTCTGAAATGTGAAGTTTTTTCAACATGGATACAAGTCATACCTTTTCAGCTTCTGAAAACAATGCATGAAAAAAAACTGCTTTTCAAATACTGTAACTCTTTCCAAGTACTTGTGATCATCAGTTTTTAGCTCACTTGAGTTTTTCTGGTTTTCTGATCACATTTTGTTTGTCATCCATCTGTCAGCCTGTAAACTTTTCACATTTTTGTCTTCTTCACTAGAACCGCTGGGCCAATTTCAACCAACCCTGCCACAAAGCATTTTCGGGTAAAGGGGATTCAGTTTGTTCAAGTGAAGGGTCACACCCTCTTTCAAGGGGGGATAATCAAGAATTAGTGAAAATTTGGTGGTATCATTTTAAAAAAGTCTTATCAAGAACCACTGACTGGGCCCAAAAAGTTGAAACTTTCTTTACATAGACTTAGTGTAGCTTCAAATTTGTTAAAATTATGACCCACTGGGGTAGGGTGGGGCCACATATGGGGATCCAATGATTTACATAGAAAAATGCAGGGGATTTTTTCCATCATAAATCTTCTTCTCATGAACAGCAAGGGCATTATTGTCGTCCATTTTCACAAAAGGGACCATGGGGACATTAAATCTCATTTGTCTGTCAGTCTGTCCGTTTGTCAGTCTGTCCGTCTGTCACAATAAATTTAACCTTGGTCATAACTTCTGAATAATAAGAGATAGGGCTTTCATATTTCACATGTACATTACTTACAAGAACTTTCTAAACATACAATGATTTTTGAACCCATGACCTTGACCTTGAAGTTTGACCTACTTTTCAAAAAATTTAACATTATTTTAAATGATCATTTTGAACGAGAAAAGATAGGGCATTCATATTATACATGTATATTACCTGTGACAAGACCTTTCTAAATATATCATGACTTTTGACTCTGTGACATTGACCTTGAAGTTTAACCTACTTTTCAAAAATGTTATATTTCCTTATAACTTTTGATTGAGAAGAGATAGGACTTTTATATTTGACATGTACATTACCTGTAACAATATGTTTCCGATCATGCTATAATTTTTTTACCCCTTGACCTTGATGTTTTACCGAATTTTCAAAAATTTTAACTTTGGTGATTACTTTTGAATGACATATGATAAGGCCTGCATATTTGAAACAATATGGCATAAATAATGGCATCCCATCCACTAGGACACGGAAAGCAGGGGACCACAATTCTTTGAATTTGCTTGTTAGTCATTTTGATATGGAAACATCTTCATATAGTGTAGATTAAAGTTTTTTATGCCCTGCCATGAATATGGCCGAGGCATATAGTGTTTGTCATGTCCGACTTCAATAAAACGTCATATGCTGATACATACTGATGTAAGCTTTTCAACTGCATCAGCATTTTGACCTCAACCTGTCCTTTGACCTTGACCTCTCTTTTCTCAAATAAGTGTTAAGCTCAGTTTTAAATAAATCATTCAAGATATTTTTATCAAACCTAATATGCTGATATGTATTAGTGAGAGCTATTCAACTGCATCAAAAACTTTTCACCTTGCACTTTCCTGTGACCTTGACCTCCCTTCTCTTTAATTTGTATTTTGCTTAGTTTTAAAGAAACAATCTAAGATATTTTTATGTAAGCATGCACTTATACATAATTTTGTGAGAATTTATCATCTATATCCATTTTTTTTTTTAGATTTTAGTTTCAATTTTAAAGAAACTGTTCAAGATATTCTCATCAAACTTCATACACTCATACAAATTTTCATGTTGCATTAGTAATATACATTCGGGGGGCATTTATGTCCTATGGACATATTTCTAGTTTTCAAATCATGACCTCCGAGGATAGGGTCAGGCCACAATAAGGGATCAAAGTTTTATAGAGATTTAAAAGGAAAAAAAATCTTCAAAATTCTTCTTTTTAAGAACAACAAAAGCATGATTAATATGGAAACATTCCCAAGAAGTGTAGATTCAAGTCTGTACAAATCATGACCCCATGGGTTAGGGAGGGGCCATTTTTTTCCTGCCCCTATTTGCTATCCACATGGAAATGCAAATTTTAAAACCATTTTACACATCCACAGGACAAAATCAATCATCTTCCAAATGATCATGATTTAAGGCTAGTGCATAAAATATAAGGGAAGTTCTGGGAACCAGGATGTTTAAACATGTTAAATATTTTTAAAAAAAAATTTGACCCCCATTTGACCCCAGGGGGAAAATAAGAATTCCAAAACCTTACTGCACATCTATAGGACACCACCAACCATCTCCCAAAAGATGATTAGGCTACTGTGAAATGTAAGAGGAGTTCAGGGAACCAGGGGCTTTTTGCATAAAAAACGTTATTTTTCGACCCCTATTTGACCCCATCGTGAAAATGAAAATTCCGAAACCTTACTGCACATCTGCAGGACACCACTAACCATCCCCCAAAAGATGATTAGGCTACTGTGTAAAATGTAAGAGGAGTTCAGGGAACCAGGAGCTTTTTGCATAAAAACGTCATTTTTCGACCCCCATTTGACCCCTAGGGTGAAAATGAAAATTGCGAAACCTTACTGCACATCTACATGACACCACCAACCATCTCCCAAAAGATGATTAGGCTACTGTGTAAAATGTAAGAGGAGTTCAGGGAACCAGGGGCTTTTTGCACAAAAAAACGTCATTTTTCGACCCCCATTTGACCCCCAGGGTGAAAATGAAAATTCCAAAACCTTACTGCACATCTACAGGACACCACTAACCATCTCCCAAAAGATGATTAGGCTACTGTGTAAAATGTAAGAGGAGTTCAGGGAACCAGGGGCTTTTTGCATAAAAAACGTCATTTTTCGACCCCCATTTGACCCCCAGGGTGAAAATGAAAATTCCGAAACCTTACTGCACATCTACAGGACACCACTAACCATCTCCCAAAAGATGATTAGGCTACTGTGTAAAATGTAAGAGGAGTTCAGGGAACCAGGGGCTTTTTGCATAAAAAACGTCATTTTTCGACCCCCATTTGACCCCCAGGGTGAAAATGAAAATTCCAAAACCTTACTGCACATCTACAGGACACGTACCACCAACCATCTCCCAAAAGATGATTAGGCTACTGTGTAAAATGTAAGAGGAGTTCAGGGAACCAGGGGCTTTTTGCATAAAAAACGTCATTTTTCGACCCCCATTTGACCCCCAGGGTGAAAATGAAAATTCCGAAACTTTACTGCACATCTACATGACACCACCAAACATCTCCCAAAAGATGATTAGGCTACTGTGTAAAATGTAAGAGGAGTTTGAGATATAAGAGTGTGACAGACGGACGGACGGACAGACATGAGTAACAACAATATACCCGAACTTTCTTTAGAAAGTGCGGGTATAATGATAAAAAGAAGGTGCCCATGCTTTATCCACATTGAATAAATGACACTCCCAAGACAGAGGACTTGATTTTTGATGGTCACCACTGGGCATGCTCATTCTGGGAAAGGATATCCTTATCCACCCATCCTATTGCCGAGATTTAGCCATTTCCGACAAATTGACTGTTCTTGTTATAAAAAATAACTTTCATGGAAAGAAATATAAGACTCGGAAAAATCTTTTAGCTTCTGTGAACAGAACGCTACGGAGCATGGATCACGTGATTTGCACATTGGCAGAACAGTGGCAGATGTGCATTAAAATCGGAGAGGACTACTTTAAAAAAATATGAACACTGAAACCTAATTTTAGTTCTTTTTTGGAAGCAATTCAGTTAGTTCGTGAACTTTTTGATCACCCCTCGTATTAAGTAGTGTTAAGGAATAAACTCTTGTTTGTTAGGTCACTTGAGCTAAAGGCTCAAGTAAACTTATCTAATCAAAAAGTTTCTGGTGTCTGTCTGTCTAGCTGTAAACTTTTCACATTTTCCACTTCTCCTCCAGACACTGGGCCAATTTTAAGCAAGCTTGCCACAAATCATTCTTGAGTAAAGGGGACTCAAGTTTTTTTCAAATGAAGAACCTCACTGTCTTTTAAGGGGATATAAATAAAAATTTGTGAAATTTTGCTGGCAACTTTAAAAATCTTCTTAAAGACCACAGGGCAAGAAAACATAAAACTATATGACTTCAGTGCAGAATCATATATGTTCAAATCATATCTGAATTGGGTAAGGTGAGGCCATAATAAGGGATTTAAGATTATATAGGAATACCTGTACGTAGGGAAAGTACTGTAAACCAACTTTTATTCGCGTGCGAGAATTATTCGCGAGTTTCGCGACTTACTTAATATTGCGAATATTAATAGCCACGAACCATATATTTTGCTTTGTATTTAAATAGAATACTTCCTCAGTCACGAAAATTAATCGTCGCAGATTCATTTCAAAATGATGAATCGCGAATAAAAGATGACACGAATAATAGTTGGTTTACAGTATCTTTAAAAGTCCTCTCCTCAAGAACAGCAGGGTCATGATGAATTACCGTATATAGCATTTTTAGGAAGTGCTGATTTAAGATTTTGAAATCATGACCCCTGGGGGTATGATATTGGTGAGGAAGCATCCTCAGGTAGAAATTAAATTTTGTTCAAATCTGACAAATTATAGTCCCAGGAAGTAGAGTTGGGCCACAATACGAGGCCAAAATTTTGTAGGAATGTAGAGGGAAAATTTTCTCAATAACATCAAGGCTAAATTGTTATAAGTTACTTCCCTTTTGAATAATTCACCCCCAAAAGCCTGAAGGAAAACTGGATAGGAGGAAATTAAGAGTCAAGGGGATCTGTAATTTGTAAGTAGTGTAGTGCTTATGATGCTTGGAAATGATGATGATTTATAAATGTATCATATTGGCATGTAAAATATATAGCCATCAGTAATAAAGATCAAACAGACTCCATTGATTCAAAAGTCATTTTTTTTTTATAGAAATGCTTTAGTTATCAAACATTAGTATAATTACATGTAAGAACTTAATTTTGATGGAATGAGGGCATCCACTCTAAATAATACATTGTATTTAATTTTAAGAGTATATAAAGGTCAATGGGTCTTAATTTTAAAAGAAGGCATACTGGTACATCATTTTGTTTGTTTCAGGTGTTGATGCATACTGTGAAATGTTAACGATGTTTGAAGATCATTATCCAGAAACTTTAAAATATGCCATAGTCATAAATGGTAAGAGACAATTCAAAATTGCACATTGAATTGAATTGAAAGAATTAATTTAGAACTTATAAAAAATAGGGCTATCTTACATGTAATTGTTGGAACAATATAGTGGTATTATAGCAATATTAAATTTTTAAAGAGAAACTTGGCTTTTGATTTCTTGGAAATTGAAATAAAATAAAGGAATATTTTGATTTTATTTATGAAGGTCAAATGAGAGTCATTTTTGGTAAATGTAATACAGATATCGACACTAATATTTTAAACTTTAGTCTCGCCGGACTAGTGCCTTTTTACTTTTACTAGTCCTCACGCGATTTTATGAGTCTGTCAAAAAAAAATCCGTGTTTTGTAATGGTTAATTTAAAAATGAACATTGCAATGTACTTTTTATACATTTTTGAAATAAACAAAGCATTTATGTGAAATGTTTTATTCCAAGATTCGCACTCTCTACCATCGGCTCATACATTCACCTCTGTCGTTGGGTCGCATATATCACAATGATAAGCACGAGAAATAGTGCTTTTGTTTAAATTCATTATAATTAAATGCCTGCACTAAAGTTTCTCTTTTAAGGTACTTATTTACTAAGTTTATCTAGAACTATTAGTTTAATTTGAAATAATCCTTTGAATGTCATGTTTTTTACGTTATGTCTAAAATCTTGACGTGAGCCCATCACAGAGGTGTCTGAGAGAGAAAGGAACGACAACTCTGCAAGGGAGATCGCAAGATTCGTTGAAATCTCACGATCAGGAACTATGATCATATTCCCGATTTCGTTTGTTTTTCTCTATAAATGACATCATCTTTCTTTATGTGTCATACTAAATCATGATCGCTAAAATGTTTAATTTCATACCAATCAGTCCTCAAATGAAGCGCCGAATTGACTCGGAATTACCTAACTTCCCGCCAAGAAGCTAGAAGGCTAAAAATACATGCGGGGTTTTCCAGTGAAAGTTATCGAACATCGGTAATTTATTGATTTTTTTCCCAGAAATTTTTATAAGTCCCTTCGGACTAATTAGCCACAGATTTTATTAGTCCGAATAAAAAATGTATCAGTCTGAGAGTAACGGACTATCGTTAATGTCGAACCCTGTAATAAAGTAGAAAAAATCCTAGACATTGTTTGTTTGAAGATTTCTGGATACTTTTTTAATTGTTGTGGTTGTGAAGGATAACAATTGTTTAATGATTGGATTTTGAATTGTCATGACAATTTTAAGATTCAAAAATCAATATGCAAGTGTATTTTGTAAGAGTACATGTAAGTTTGTCAGATTCAAAATATTGTCATGATTTAAGTCAGCTTTAGAGTGGTAGATTAGAAACCAGAATTAATATGATGCCTTAAAATCAGAGTTTTCAACAAGAATTCTAAATAATTGTGAATTATATGTATTAGTAAAACCAATTTATTTTGCTCATATAGATTTGTTAAAATAAAAAAAATATCACTGAAGGAGTATAATCTTATGTACTTCCAGCCCCCAGATTTTTTCCTATAGCCTACAACATTGTGAAACCTTTTCTATCAGAGGCAACAGCCAAGAAGACAATCATTCTAGGAAGTAAGAATGTGTTACTGGTTAATTTTTAAAATTAAAATTAAAGTGAAGCAATGAGCACATACCACTTTTAACAGAAACATAAAAAATTAAATAGAAGCTGCAGTGAAGTTAAGTGAAAGGGAGTTTTGCTTGTTTTAAGACTTAATTTTTAGCTCACTTCAACATAGTCAAGGTAAGCTTATGTTATACTCCTGGCATTGGTTTAGGTGTCCCGATTAAAGTTAGCAAGTCCATTCTCAAGAGCTATAAGCCCTATCAGCTATAAGCATGTAAAGATGTGCACTGTCAGACTTGACTTTGATGTTGGATCTGACCTACATTTTCTGGATGAATGACCAGGTTAAACCTTTTGTGCAACTCAATTCCCAAATAACTAGCATAGGTAATCAAAGATTATGAAGCTCATCTCAATGAATGCTATTTAAAAGTAAAGCAAATGTGCATCCCAATAGCAATATCCATACAGGTTTGGTTTGAGTAGGACCTAGTTACTTGGGAATGTACCTGCTCCAGAAACTTAACTCATATGGCAATTGTAGGTTAGATCCAGCATCCAAAGTAAGTTTGGTAGTGTCCATCCCTAGATGCATCATCCATGCAATTGATTCATCACAGGCCTCATAGAGCTACACCTAAAACTTTAACCCTGGTCACTCATCTGGAAAATGTAAGAGAGGTCCAGCATTCAAATAAAGCCTGGTAGTGTGTATTTCTAGATGCATCATCCAAGCAAGTTTGGTCAAGGTAGAGCTTATAATTACTTGGAAGCGGTCCACTCTAAAAATTTTAACTTGGTCTCATATCTGGAAAATTTAGGTCAGTTCAAGCATCAGAAGCAAGTCTAATACTGTTCATCCCTAGATGCATCATCCATTCATCATCTAAGATTGGTCCAAGTAGGGCTTATAGTCACTTGTCTGAAAATGTGTATCAGATTCAGCATCCTTTGCAGATCTAGTAGTGTACATTCCTAGATGAATCATCCCTGCAAGTTTGGTAAAAGTAAGGCTTATAGTTACTTGGGAATGGACCGGCTCCAAAGACTAACCTGTTCACTCATCCAAAAATATAGGCAAGATCCAGCATCCTGACCAAGTCTGGTAGTGAACATCTCTTGATACATCATCCTTGCAAGATTGATCTAGGTAGGGCTTATAGTTTGAATGGATCTGCTCTAAAAAATTTTAAATTGGTCACTCATCTAGAAAATATAGGTCAGATCCAGCTATGAAGCTATGAAGCATGTCTAATACTTTCCATCCCTAGATGCATCATCCATATGAGTTTGGTCCAGGTAGGGTTAATAGTCAATCATCGGAAAAATGTAGGTCAGATCCAACATCCAAAGTATATGGGATACTGAACATACCTAGACGCATCATCCCTGTGAGTATGGTCAAGGTAGGACTTTTAGTTCCTTGGGAATGGATCTGCTTAAAAAGTTGAACTTGGGCACTTATCTGGAAAATGTAGGTTAGATCCAGCTTTGAAGCATGTCTAATACTTTCCATCCCTAGATGCCTCATCCTATCAAGTTGGTGTAGGTAGAGCTTATAGTTACTTGGTGAGGGACTTGCTCCAAAAACTTGAAGCTGCTCACTCATCAAGAAAATGTTGGTCAGATACAGCATCCAAAGCAAGCCTGGTGGATCCCATCCCTAGATCCATCACCTATGCAAGTTTGGTCCAGGTAGGGTTTACTGTTACTTGGGAATAGCACTGCTCGAAAGACTTGAACCTGCTCAATCATCTGGAATTGTAGATTAGATACAGCATCTGAAGCAAGTCTTTCATTGTCCATCCCAAGATGGATCATTGATGCAAGTTTGATCCAGGCTTATAATTACTTTGGAATGGACCTACTCCAAAAACTTAAATGTGCTCACTCATCTGTAAAACATAAGTCAGATCCAGCATCTGAAGCAAGTTTGGTAGTGTCCATCCCCAGATGCACCATCCGTGCAAGTTTGGTCCAGGTAGGGCTTATCATTACTTGGGAATGGACTTGCTCCTAAAACTTTAACGAGGATGTCAATGCCGACTCCGGGATTATAACATAAGCTCATCTCAACTTCGTATGGATGATATAAGATGCCCTAGGGTGAGCAAACTTTTATGGATGATACATCTAGGGTTGCACACTTTCAGACTTGCTCCAGAGACTGGATCTGACCTACATTTTCCAGATAATTACCAGGTTAAAGGTTTTGAAGCAAGTCCATTTGCAAGTAACTATTAGCACTATGTTGACCAATGTTGGAAGGATGATGCATCTTGAGATGCACATAACCAGACATGCTTTGGATGCATTGTCTGACTTAACATTCCTGAATGAGTGACCAGATTAAACTTTCTGGAGCAAGTCCATTCTCAAGAAACTATAAATACTGTGGTGACCAAACTTAAACAGTTGAAGCATCTAGGGATGAACACTACCAGACGTGCTTCGGATGCTCTATCAGACCTACATTTCTTGGATGACTGACCAGGTTAAAATTTTTTGAGCAAGTCACTTCCCAAGTTACTATAAGCCTAAAGCTGAACAAACATGCATAGTTGATGCATCTAAGGATGCACACTACCAGACTTGCTTTGGAAGCTGGACCCACCATTACATTTTCTAGATGAGGGACAAGGTTAACGTTTTAGGAACAAGTTCATTCCCAAATAACTGTATTCCCTATGGTGACCAAACTTGCATTTATGATGCATCTAAGGATGCATACTACTAGACATGTTTCAGATGTTGGATCTGACCTACCTTATTCAAATTATTGACCAGGAGATCTGGAGCAAGTCCATTCTCAATAAACCCAAATCCCAATTGTGACGAACTTGCATGCATGATGCATCCCCATTGGGATGCATGCACTAGAACTTGATTTGAATCCTGGATCTGACCTGCATTTTCAGGAATATTGAATAGTTGAAGTTTTTGGAGCAGATTCATTCCCAATTAACTACAGTAAAACTCAGTTAAACTATAATGAACACAAGCAGGATTGGTTTTTAGTAATCCTCTATTAAATATGCATATTTTGACATTTTTTCTGTAAGGAATATTTATCAATTGATCTATGTGTTATGTTTTAGATATGATACCTCAAATTGAAACAAATAGCACTCTAATACAGATACAGTAAAAAAAAAATCCTTAAAGTATACATAAGGAATTTGAAAGATAGCTTTTTTTTCATTCGACTACTAAATGTATTTAGGAAGTATAAAATACAACATTTACCTTGGAGTTCAAAAGTTTCCGGATGAATTGAGTTTCAAATGTAAATTCTTACAAAATAAATGTCAGTTCAATATTTTAAAAATTGAGATCTTTGAAAATTTGCTATAAAATATGTAAATTTTGTTATTTTTGAATTTGTAGGGGACACAGAATTAGTTCGCTTTAACCATAAATTCGCTATATCCAAGTTCGTTATATCCCAAAAATTTTACAAGGAATTGTTAAGAATTTCTCTGGGGGTTGCAAAAAAACTTCACTATAATCCATAATTCCATGTTCATACTGAGTGAGTTTTACTGTACTGGTTTTACATTAGAAATCAGAATTCTTTCATAAACACTAACTTATTATATAGTGCTGATGTTTATAATTATGTCCTCACAATTAATCCACTATGTGACTCTTAATTAAACTTATATCACTTTTAACAACAAATCTACATCAATCAAAAATACAAATGTAGCTAGCTAGGTCATGCAGTTTTTATCACCATGTCAGAAGCTGTAATATTTTATATGACATGCAGTACAGATGCTAAATTTAAATTCCTACTTGCTATAGATTGAAAAAGGGTATAGTTAACTTTTCTTAAGGATATGGTCATGTTGAAAGTCACGAACTTTGTAAAAGGTAACAAGCAACAAACATGCCAAGCTGTAGTTTTACAAATTGCAATTCATATATATACAATGTACGGTCAAACCTCTTTATCTCAAACTTGATGGGACAGAGAAAAAACTTTGAGATATCCTAGTATTCAAGATATCAGGGTAAAATACTTGAAGAATAAGTTGTTGGGACTTCTAAATCACTTCAACATATCTATGGTATTCGAGATATGTGTGTTCGAGATACCAAAGTTCAACTGTACTTATATATTTTTTATTCCAAGGTATTCCTATTTAAGGATTTTACTCAGTCTCCATGAATGTTTTAATTTTACAGCTAATTATCGTGACACTTTATATCGATACATCTCTCCAGAAGAGCTCCCAGTTTGTTATGGAGGTAAACACACAGATCCAGATGGGGACCCTACATGCAAATCACAGGTATGGGAAACTGTGCCATAAACAAACTGTTCTTAGTTTTTTTTTTTAGCTCACCTGAGCCGAAGGCTCAAGTGAGCTTTTCTGATCACTTTTTGTCCGGCGTCCGTCTGTCTGTCCGTCTGTCTGTCTGTAAACTTTTAACATTTTTGACTTCTTCTCAAGAACCACTGGGCCAATTTCAACCAAACTTGCCACAAAGTATCCTTGGGTGAAGGAGATTCAAGTTTGTTCAAATGAAGGGCCATGCCCTCTTTCAAGGGGAGACAATAAAGAATTAGTGAAAAATTAATAGTATAATTTAAAAATCTTCTTCTCAAGAACCACAGGGCCAGGAAAGATGAAACTCATGTGGAAGCATCCTCAGGTAGTGTAGATTCAAGTTTGTTCAAATCATGACCCCCGGGGGTAGGGCGGGGCCACAATGGAGGATCAAAGTTTTACATAAAAATATATAGGAAAAACCTTCAAAAATCTTCTTCTCAAGAACAGCAAAGCCATGATGAGTCATATTTATATGGAAGCATCCTCAGGTAGTGTAGATTCAAGTTTGTTCAAATCATGACCCCGGGGGGTAGGGCGGGGCCACAATGGGGGATCAAAGTTTTACATAGAAATATATAGGAAAAACCTTTAAAAATCATCTCAAGAACAGCAAAGCCATGATGAGTCATATTTATATGGAAGCATCCTCAGGTAGTGTAGTTTCAAGTTTGTTCAAATGATGACCCTCTGGGTAGGGTGGGGCCACAATGGAGGATCAAAGTTTTACATAGAAATATATAAGAAAAATCTTTAAAAATCTTCTTCTAAAGAACAGCAAAGCCATGATGAGTCATATTTAAATGGAAGCATCCTCAGGTGGTGTAAATTCAAGTTTGTTCAAATCATGACCCCTGGGGGTAGGGCGGGGTCACAATGGAGGATCCAAGTTTTACATAGAAATATATAGGAAAAACCTTTAAAAATCTTCTTCTCAAGAACAGCAAAGCCATGATGAGTCATATTTATATGGAAGCATCCTCAGGTAGTGTAGATTCAAGTTTGTTCAAATCATGACCCGGGGGGTAGGGTGTGGCCACAATGGAGGATCAAAGTTTTACATCGAAATATATAGGAAAAACCTTTAAAAATCTTCTTCTCAAGAACAGCAAAGCCATGATGAGTCATGTTTATATGGAAGCATCCTCAGGTAGTGTAGATTCAAGTTTCAAATCATGACCCCCGGGGGTAGGGTGGGGCCACAATGGAGGATCAAAGTTTTACATCGAAATATATAGGAAAAATCTTTAAAAATCTTCTTCTCAAGAACAGCAAAGCCATGATGAGTCATGTTGATATGGAAGCATCCTCAGGTAGTGTAGATTCAAGTTTGTTCAAATGATGACCCCCCGGGGGTAGGGTGGGGCCACAATGGAGGATCAAAGTTTTAAATAGAAGTATACAGGAAAATATCTTCTGAAAAAGAACTGCAAAGCCATGATTTGTCATTTTGATATGGAAGCAACCTTAGGAAGTGTAAATTCAGTTTTGTTCAAATGATGACCCCCGGGGGTAGGGTGGGGCCCAATGGGGGATCAGAGTTTTACATAAGAACATACAGAAAAAATATTTCTTTTTAAGAACAGAAAAGCTATGTTTAGTCATATTGATATGGAAGCATCCTCAGGTAGTTTAGATTCAAGTTTGTTCAAATGATGACCCCTGGGATAGGGAGAAGCCACAATGGGGGATCAAATTTCTACAAAGGAATATATGGGAAAATTTTTTTTTAATCTTCTCAAGTACAACAAAGCCATTTGTTATATTGACATGGAAGCATCATCAGGTAGTTTAAAATTCAAGCCTCCCCCCTCCCCAGTAATCTTTTCAATACTGAACTGATTTGTGCTTTCACCTATCCAATGTGCTCAGGTGAGCGATGTGGCCCATGGGCCTCTTGTTTAACCTTTCATATTAAATCATCATGCTATTTATTGCACATGCAATCATATATGCAAACTTTGGAGGAAAATATACTTTATTACCCATTGATAACCAAACATGTGACTTTTGAAATATAGTTAGTCAGTTTAGTAACTGTATAAATGGCCAAATTCTAAACAGAAATAAAAAGCATCCCTTATTATGTTATAGAGTAGAATATTAATAGTTTGTAAGTTCAAGATGAATGAATGTTATTTTTCTCATAGGATTAAAAAGAAAATATGAAAACATCAATTATATATCATCGATATATATATATTCAGCTTTTTTGCAATCAATTTTCCCATTCATAATAACACCATGTAAGGGACACATGTGTAGTTCTGGTTATGTATTATAGGGGAGTTTCAACTCTTAGCAGAATTTTGTCATATGAGCAAGTTTGATCATGAAAAAAATCTTTGCTCATAAAGTTTTGGGACAAATCAATATGCCATAGGTTATAAGAATGTCTTATTTCCATATAAGTGCAATCTGTTTAAAAACAAAACAGATTGTACAAACACTTCTAAACATGCAGTTTCACTGACTCAGGAAATTTGTCGACCTTTTATGCTTTCTAATTTCACAAGTGTTTGCAAAATCTGTTAAAACAAAAAACAGCTCTCAAACAGATTATTGCAATATTTTGGAAGCTCTGACATTCTTACAACTGTTGTGCATATTGATTTGTATCAAAACTATAAGCAAAGATGTTTTTTCCCAGTCATACTTGCCTTGTATGACAAAACCCTGCTTCAGAGTTGAAACCCCTATGGTACACAATTGAAACCCTGCATTTCTCCCTTTACATGGTGTTTAATAATTAAATATTGACTGCTTCTTTCAGAACAAGTTTGACATATAAGGCTCAGGGTGACAAGGTTAAACTGGTTCATACTGTTCATAACTGTTTACACTGCCAAGCAAACCCATCTGGCTCCAAAATTGGCTAAAGGGTTATTTAAATCAAAATGTATAATCATTGATTGATTATATCTTTGCTATCCATGTAGGAAATTTGAGCTTGTTACATAACATTGTTTACATTCCGAAGTTGGTGTCTCTCCTGTGTCTGACAACTGTAAATTACTGTAGATCATGACTTATCTCAAACTAAAAGAGTGAAAGTCACTTGTTTTTCAAAACAATCCTCCATCTCCTCGTCCACAAGTCAAGGTGATAAATAAGAAAAACCCTCCCCCTCCCCCTTTTCTTCAATACAAACCCATTCTCCAATTCATTTTCTTTGAAATTCAGTGATCATGAGTAAGCATTAAACTGAATCATTCACTTCTCTGCTTTCAAATTGCTTGACTAAGAAAACTTCCAACAAAAAATAAACAACCCTTCCTCAAGCAAACTTAATGGTTGATACATTTAGAAATATGTACTTTTAATCAGTCTTCCTTGGATCTTTCAAGTGACCTTTGCTTTTTAAATGCTAAATGAAGGTCTGTATGATGAACTTTTATAACTATAGATAATGTATTTTATGGAATATTTAATATAAGTATGAGAATTTGATACATCTATAGATATAGATATAACATTCATTGCTGTGAGCTGTTTAAGATAAGGTTTCCTATTTTGCAACTTTCTAGTTGATTTTAGCAAAAATTACAATAGTGCAACATCTTTCCATTTAATATTACTCTTCTGTCTGATTGTTTACATGTATTCCTTGCTGATGACTTTGTAATGTACACTACAGTCAAACCTCAATTTCTCGAACTTGATGGGGAATGAGGCTAGCCTAAGAAAAACTTTGAGATATCCAATAATTTTGAGATTCTGGGGTTAAAATACATAAAGAAAAAGTAGTTCTGACTTCCAACAGACTCAAAGATATCCATGTTATTCGAGATATATTTGAATGTGTGAAATAACAAAGTTTAACTGTATATTACTTTGCAGTGAATGTGATGTGTTCAAAATGTATTGATGTACATGTAAATATGATTGAAACAGTACATTTTAATGTTTAAAAATTTAAAGTACTATGAGACTATTGTATAGGGCATTTTCATAAATCTCTTTATAGTTTTTAAAGCCTAAAACTTCTTCAAACCATTTTACATATGTGTTTCAATAACTTGATGGGGTATTATAAAATTATACTTCATGTATGAAGTTTAGTTTGTCCTTTAAACTAACTATCTTATTTTTTCTCAGAAATGAGGATTTACCATTTCATGCACTGACAGATGAACAAATTTCAGTTATACATATACTTACTTATAGCTCATAAATAAAAAAAATTCAATTTCACACTCAAATTAAAACTTATTATTTTTTCAGATTGGACAAGGTGGTGATGTACCAAAGTCTTACCACAAACAACAGATGCTTTCAGCAGAAATAGATAATGCGGTGTGTGTGACTGTGGGGCGTGGTTCCTCCCTACAAGTTGAGTGTGAAGTTCCTGTCAAAAACAGTGCCATTAGGTATTATATAAAGACTCACTAAAATAATGGCATATATAAATATATATATTGAAGAAGGAATTTTTGGCCAACAAATACATGTATTAGCACTGTGTTTTCAAAACTTTATTGACAATTATTTAAGCCTAGAGGTTTATGAGTAGCTGCACTTAATTGTATTGATGTATGTACTCTACCTTTTTTATTGGCATAAAAAAGTACAAATTTACAAATTAAGTATTTTTTCTTACTAGGTTACAGCACAAATTAGGTTTAGTAGAAATGAAGACTTCCAATGCCATTTACCTTCTAACAAACAAATTAAATTGCAAGCTAGTGTACAAAACCAAGTTTTCATCAATATGTTAAAGTACATGCTATACATACAGTGTGAAAATAACAATCCTGTATTGATGTATTCCATGCATGGTAATTGTGTTGACAGCATTCAGTTTACATGTATTCTTTAGAAGAAGATTATTGGATTCACAACAGTCAAATGTGTGGCAGTGTATTTTGCATGCAACAAAGAAATAACGCTGCACATAATTGAATAACAAACATGAGCATTTCTCTGGTCAAGAAATAAAAATTTCATTTCCAAAACAAAAGTAAGCAAAGTTTGGACATGCAACTACTGGGATAATAGAAAAAAATTATATACTTGATCTGTAGATGGCAGTTTTCCACCCAAGGATTTGACATTGGATTTGGTGTGTATCGGCGTACAAAAGATGAGAGACAGAAAGCCAATGAGATGGAGGAGGTTCTCCCCAGTCAGAGAGTCAATTCTCACCTGGTGCCAGAGGATGGAAGTGTTACCTGTACAGATGTAGGAATGTGTAAGTATCCTGTACAGAAGTAGGAAAATGTAAACATCCTGTACAGATGTAGGATTGTGTACATTGTACGTACCCTTAACAGAAACTATCCTAAACAGAAGTAGGAATGTGTAAATATCGGTACAGATGTAGGAATGTGTAAGTACCCTTATCAGAAACTATCCTGTGCAGAAGAAGGAATGTGTAAATATCTGGTACAGATGTAGGATTTTGTAAGTTACCTTAACAGAAACTATCCTGTGCAGAAGAAGGAATGTGTAAATATCTGGTACAGATGTAGGATTATGTAAGTACTCTTACATGTTAGACATATTGTACTTTAAGAATTTCAGCTGTTTATTTTCAAAACCTTTCAGCTAAATATTTTGGACACTAAGAGGATTAGAATCATCAAACCTTGCCAGTTGATGCATCTATGGGCCTCAGGGTATCAACTAAGAAGTAGAGCATAGTAACCTTATTGAACTTTTAGGTCACCTGGTGACCTGTTGTTGTCTATCATTGTGTACAACTGAACAAATTTCAACCAATTTTGGCTTTTAGCAACTATGGGTGAAGGGGAACAAAAATGGTGAATTTCATGGTCCTATCTTTTCTGCCCCTTGGTATTAGGCAGACAAATTTAATCCAAAGTTATGATGAGCAAGAGTGCTTCTTCCAAAATTATGAAATTCATGGGCCCTGGGTCAGGGATTCTGGAGATAGTGCAGGGCTCTATTGATCATACAGTGAAAATGCTCTAATTCTTTCAACATGTTCCTGGGTATTAAGCAGATCTAAACTAAGTGCATGGTTTTGATGAGTAAGGGTGCCTCTTTCAAAATTATGAAATTCATGGCCCCTGGGCAGGGATAAAATATTAATGGTTGTCCAATTACCAGTGGCAAGTAAAATCTCAGTTTGGGCAATTGAAACTCTCATTGTACAGGTCACAGTGACCTGCTTGTTTGAATTTGGTCCTTATTTGTTGTCTTTTTTTTTTAACTTTAACACTTAGAAGTTAAATCTAAATAGTTTATGGATTGCAGGTCCTCAGAATATGGTGGCCAAGTATTAGCTATTGAATTCTTTTTCACAACATTTTAGCTAGATATCTTGGATATTACCGATAAAATTATTAGAATCACCAAACTTTCTCAGTTGATGCATTTTGTGGCATTACAATGGGTTGATGTCGAAGTAGGTCACAGTGATATACTTTCTGAATTCATTTTCAAATTGTTTAAGATGAGTGTCTTCAATACCTTGAAACCAAGGGTATCTTGTCAGTTGATGTAACTGAAAACTTTGGGGTTTGTCAACAAAAAGTAGGTCACAGTTACTTAACTTCAGTAGCTATTGAATTCGTTTTCACAACATTTTAGCTAGATATCTTGGATATTACCGATAGTATTATTAGAATCACCAGACTTTCTCAGTTGATGCATTTTGTGGCATTACAATAGGTTGATGTCGAAGTAGGTCACTGTGACCTACTTTCTGAATTTTGAAATTTTTAACCTACCTGTATTTACATTCTAAACAGTTATGATATAAGGTCACCAAATGTAGAAAGTTGATGCACTTTGGGGCTTAGGGATGTGTCAACCCAAAAGCAGGGTGACCTACGTACATTTTAAGTTTAGTTATTATTTATTGACAGATCCTTTTAGCTTGAATAATAATTAAGAAGTCTTGGATCATCAAACCCTGTTAATTGATATGCCATTTGGCCTAGGGATATGTTGACCCATTAGTATGTCACAATGACAGTATTGTGCAATTGATCAGAAGAGCAATTCTAGGTCAATGGGCCTGTTGTCTAGGTCAATTTCAATGGAGGAGCTGAAAACATCATATCATTATCTTAATAAAATGTGTGTTTTTCAGCCCTGTCATTGGAATTGACCAAGGCCTTGATTATTGACCTTGAAATTACTTAGTAATCTATCATAACTACCAATTTCAAGTTTCATGTTAAGATACACTAGACATTTTGGCAAAGATGTGATCACAAGGGAAAAGTATGACTTTATAACAATTTGAGTGTACAGTTTTGAAAGAAAGACAAGAAAATTGTGTGCAACAAATGGTGACTGTAGACCAGAGCATCTACTTATAAAGAGTTGCTGCTTGATTTATAGGTGACCCCTTTTGGTTGCTGACTGATTGCTTAGTTTGTTTTTCATTTTTGTTTTGCAGATATTCTTCGATTTGATAATACATTTAGCTGGACAAGAAGTAAGAAAATTCACTACCTTGTAGAAGTTCTAGAACCAGACACTGAAGACTTTACCAATCCCAATGCCTCTAAGGCCAGCTTCAAAGTCAAACATCAATGTTAGAATGGTCTAAAAGTTCTCAAAATAAAGTAATCTTGTCAAATGATGTAATACTTTAGATTATGAGCCAATGAAAACAAGAGAGAGAGTTATAAAAAATGTTTTTAGGTTTGATTTTATGTATTTTAAACTTAGTTCTTCTTCTTCAGTAAAGAAGGTCATAAACAGTGCCAAAGATCAATATCTAATTATGTTTAATAGTATGAATATAAATGATAATACATGTCATATATTTAGAATTATGAAAGATATATCTAAAATAAGCACTTTTAAATGCTGATTATGATGTGTACTTTGAACTCTTGAGGGAAAAAAAGTCACATCTGTGTAATTTTATAAAAAGGGTTTTATTCTCTGATTTATTAATTTAGAGATACATGTATACACATAATTGCTCAATTCAGTAGTCCCATTAGTAAAAAAAAATATTTAGGTACTCAATAGTTTAACCTTTTCATCTTTTAATTCCAAAAAAATGGTCTGATCTGATATTTGTCAATGCTTAAATTCAGTTATTAAAAAGTAAAAATGTTTGATAATTAAAAAAAAAATTAAAAACTTTTCATCATGATCTGTAAAACATTAGCATGATTCAGGAATTTTTTTACTGAAGGATTCAAATAAGGGAATAAAAGCTTTACTATTCAAATTGACAGAAAATGTGTTGAAATTTCATTTTGGCATTATGTGTTTCTATAAAGTACAGATATGCACACAATTAAAGTGAATTACTATTGCAAGTCCCTGCTTAACCTGCTGCAAGTTATAGGGAAAAATCATTTAAGTCCCCTGTTATATTTTTTATTTCATTCATCTAAAATATGCCACGTATTTGTAATTTGTTTTATAATTTACCTCTTCTGTTGTATTTTATTTGATTTGTTGTTCAAAGTTTTTTTTTATTTTACCTTAAAACTACCTGTATACATAACAATGCTCAATTTTAATTTATGTTAAAAAATTACGTTCTCTAGGAAAGTTGCATCAATTTGAATATGCACAGAGCTTGCATTAATTAGCATATTATTTTTTGTATGCAAAGGCAAAAGTTTATATATATACAGTGTATATATATTTGACACTTGACACTGTTATACAAAAAGTGAAAAAGTGACACTGTTATACAAGAAGTGAAACTTTGCTGGATGGTCACTCTTAGTGTCATATTAAGCCTATTTTAAATGCACCAGTAAGATTTTCTAATCAAAGCTTGTCTATTGCACATGTAATTTGGTTTGTTGTTTGTAAACGTTTACATGTTTGGTCTCTTGGGAACCTCGAGTCAATTTCAACCTCATGCATTCAGCACATTAGCACATACACAGGTGCATGTATCAAATTCAGGGCTGAATTCCCTACCAAGGATTAAGTATTTGAAATAATGAAACTATTACAGGTTGAGATGTTTGGAAACTTCTCTTTGCTAGAGCATCCTGGTCTGAAAAAGAAAAAAGACAAACAGCCTATTTATATAGCTTAAGGAGGCTGGGGGGTCAACAAATTAACCATCAGATATAACTTAATTTTTTAGATATGATATCTTAAGCTGTCAACTATCATTTGGCAAATAAAAATTTCATACATTTTAGTTTTAAAATTTGATCATTTTTGTATATCTTTATATGGAGCTCTTCTTCTAAAGGAGATCAATATAGTCTGAAAATGGCCACAACCACCCAGCCCTCTTAAATTAAATTTTCTCCATTACCCTGGACCGTAATGGGGTGGTTTTAAAATTTCAAAACGTATTTATACATGATGATTTTTAAGGGGGTGGGGGGTTGTGATATTTTTTTGTTTGTAATAAACTTATAGATGTATAATTAAATATAATGTCCAGTTCTGATTAAAAAATTATATTTAATTATATATTTTTAGTTATGCTCCAAACTATACTGTCATTTCCTAGCACTGTCTATTGTACAATCATTTTCTTTTAAGTGATTCTGTTTTCACAGTATAGCATATAGTATTAGTATTGAAGAGACCAATGAATTAATGTCCACCAAGAAATGCAATTTTTCACATATTTTACAACTCAACAATTCTTCATCCATGAAATCAAATCCTCATAAACCCATATTTTTTCCTCAAACCACAAAAAATTTGCCCCCACAAACATGTGATTTTACAGTGCTATAATGCATGTTATTTTTACACTATTTAAAAGAGTTGTTTTGATACATGTAATTATATTTCAGTCTAAGTAATACTGATTGTATTTTTAAATCTTACAAAATTAATGTTATTGCATATAGTGCATATGTAGTGAAATTAAATGTGATATTAATGAAATAGATAGAAGAATCGATTAAATATTTTATTTCAAGATTCTTTTCTTTCTTATACCTATGTACCTATGCTCAGATTCCTATCAACATAACCTGTGAATAAATATCAGTATTTATGGTGCACTTAACAAAGCAAACTGATTTTTTTTTTCTTTTTGCCAGTGTTATGTTACAGTGTAAATTTGTTGACATTACAAGAAAATTTTCATCCTGAGTATAAATAGATTTTGCAGTATACACCATGTTTGTTTGTTTTTGCTTTGTTTGTTTGTTTTTTTGTTTTTGTTTTGTTTTTCTTCTTCGTTTTTTTAGGTCACGTAAGCTTTTCTGTGTGGAATTTGTCAATTGTCATTAACTCATTATCATTTATATTTTTGTCTTCTTCTCCAAAAGCAATGATCCAATGTCAATCAAACTTTACCCAAATATGCTTGAGTGAAGGAAATTTAAATGTAGTAAAATTCAGATGAAGGGTCCACCCCCTTTCAAAGGGGAAGAAAAGGCAAACAAATTACAGGGGTCATTTAAAAATCTCGAGAACCTCTGGGCCAGAGAAGATAAAACTGTTTCAAAGCTTGCTGATTTTGTGTAGATCTTTGACCCTGGGGTAAGGGTAGGGCCTCAGTAGGGGATGAAAGTTTTACATGGGAATAAATAGGGGGAAAAAATGGTTGATTTTTTTCCTCAACAACAGGAATGATAAATGATACTGATGTGAAGTTGTAATCTATATCAAAGTATCCCTCCGATTCTCATTAGTTGCATTGTGATGAATTCCTGTTTCTTTGCATTGTTCCCTTCGGTTCTCAGTAGGTCATGTGACAATAAGAGTACATATATACTTAGACAGTCGGGTTGATTAGTGTTTGGTACTGACGGCTGATGTTATAAGACAGTTTAGAATAGAAGAATTAGACGTGATAAATACTGTAAGTGATACCTGAATAAAGTCTTACGTGCCTGAAATAGGCACTTAGGTAGTGAATAATTATTATATATACTGTATTAAGGTTCACAAACCCTCTGTTCACTCAAAATGTTGCTTTAACTCATATGATTTTCCAAAAGAAAAGTATTTTATAAGTAAAATACAAACAATTGTATCATGGGTTGCGGGCGAAATTGGACAAAAAAGACATTTTCTAAAAGAATAATAGACATGTCATTAAGTGTTATCTTATGAGAGTATCAGTGAACTTTAAGAAACAGTTTTGGCTGAAGGTCAAAAGTTAATGCGCTTCAAGTCTTGGAAGGCGCGTGCGCTAAAGAGAAACGGTAGAGATATTGTAAATATTGCTGATTCAAATCTATGATTGAGATCTTTAATTTTTTACTTGATTCAATTGTTTAGATAGAACAGCTACATCCCATAAACGAACCCGGAAACGTTACATAGATATTTTGGCAGAGGAGGGATTCGGCAAATAATAAAAGTAATAGATATTTTGAATTGGTTAAAGTTTTATGTTATTATTGCTTTGTAAATTATGAGCGCGATGGAAGAAATGCTCAATGAGGAAATATCTTTTCTTGAAAAGAGCTGTTGGCGATTGCGCTTTGAGATAGAAAAGCAATCTACACCAGTTGCTACAAATTAATACCCCTGGTACATTGACCAATGCGAGACTCTGGCATTGCAACAATGGTTGGTGATAGCGCACAGCAAGAAAATTAGCCTGTAGAAGGAGAGACACATGCACAGCAATCGGAAAACCCTGGGAAGGAGTATATAGACAGATGGTGTGACAGTAAGAAGAAAAATGGCGCAGCGAAATTTGACTTCTGGACCAAATGCACCCCTTTTGACAACAGATTATGCTGCGAGTGAGCAACAATATGAAGCGACGGTTCCATTGTCTATTAGAAAACACCCCGCATTTTGTCAAATGCGCATCAGCATCCAGTTTATGTGTTGAATGAGATTCTTGTGCATTCTCCTTTTCAATTTCCACTGAGTATGCATTCTCAACTACCATTGCAAGCGCAATATCGAGTTAGGCCTGCTGCACAAATAATAAGTAAATAATAAATAAATAATAAAGAATCACCTCGTGAGAGTCAGGAACAAAATAAAGAATCCCCCCCCCCCCCAGACTGTTCCGCAGTACAACAGGCAAATAACGAAGCTACAAAGTGTAATGTAAAGCCTGCGACATTTGACGGAAGTCATTCGTGGATTGATTACAAGTCTCATTTTGATGCTTGCGCAGGAATTAATAATTGGTCCAACAGAGAAAAGGGACTCTATTTATTCGTCTCATTACTACAAGGTGCTGCTCAATGATTGCTTGTGAATATTTCTTCAGAGACTGGTCAGCAGTACGAATTATAGGTTAAAGCGCTTGAGGAGAGATTTGCACCGCTAAACCAAACAGAACTTTACTGCGCCAAAGTAAAAGAGAGACATCAGCATCAGAGACTTTGTCAGAGTTGGGACAAACTATCAGAAGACTCGCTTGTTTGGCTTATCCCTCGGTATCAATGGAAGTAAGAGAAACGCTTGGAAAAGAGGCTTTCATAGATGCACAAGCAGATTCTGAAAAGTGCTTGCGCATCAAACAAAGTAGGCCTAAAAATTTAATCGAGGCTATTCGGTTCGGTGTTGAATTGGATGCATATTACAGAACTGAAAAGTGGGGTCACAGTCACACTGTAAATTTCATGAAACCTACAAGAAAGACGGATCGCATTCAAAAGATTTACATGAATTGATGCAAACACTTCAGACGAAGTTAGAATCATTAGAAAAGCGCATTCAAGAGAAAGGTACCAGGGGCCTGTTGTACAAAAGAACTTACGACTAAGACCAAAAATTAATTCTGCTTGTAACTTTTTAATTCACTTCATGTTGAAAATGGTTTTAATCTTTTTAAAAGGAATGTAGTAAGATATTTTTACGTAAGCAATTTTAAACAGATTCATTAATTTTGCAAAATTTTACAATCAACTGAAGTTTTTGTCTTGTTCTTTTGTAAAACGGACCCCAGTAGAGTAAGTCAAAATGTCCCTGGGAGACGTAGATTTGCTAACAGACGGAATAGTGAAAATGTAAAGTGCTACTATTGCTCCGAGTAGGGACATATTTGTAGAAATTGTCCCAAATTGATGAAGAGAAGAGAAACTGCTGATGAGTGCAATGGTCATTTCGCAAAGTGCAATGTGAGTAGAATTAATTCGTAGTAGGAAAAGACCTAGAAGTATTATTGAGAATGTAGGGGCAGGCAACTTATGTGAAGAAGAAGGCATTTTCATAGATGTTGAAGTGAATAGCGTGAAAACCAAATTTTTGATTGATACTGGCGCATTCTTTACTGACTAAGAGAATATATGATCAGCTGACAGACAAACCCATATTAGAAGATAATGGGTAAATAATAACGAATGCTGGTGGATCAAAACTTTGTCAGTTTGGGATAGGCCAATACATCATACAAATAGGAAAATCAAAGAAGAATGCTGTTCAAAGTGAAAGTGGCAGATATCGCTGTCGATGGAATACTTGGACTAGATTTCTTAAAAGCTTGTAATGGAGCAATAGACCTTCGATCAAGCTCTTTAAAGTTGAATAATGAAGAATGTCGATTTTTATGGGAAGGTACGCTAATCTGCTACAGAGTTACAACAAACTCTTACGTGTGCATTCCACTTAGAAGTGAAGCAAGCAAAAGTCCCGGGAGAAAATAAATTCGGTAGTGCAGACTACTTGGTTGAGGCAGAGAAGTAGGTCGCATATTAGTTAAGGGAAATAATACTGTGCCTGTATACCTCTTGAATGTCACAGACGATGTTCAACAAATTTGTAATTAATGGTACTCTTATTGCAAAAATGATTGCAGTGGAAGAGCAGAAAGCTCCTGTTAAGGATGTGAATAAGAATGCTTTAGAACTACGAATTGATTGAAAGAATTGCTAAACAGGTGCAAAATAAATATGTTTTCGTCGCAGTTGTCGAAGTAGAAAGATATCTACATGAACATCAGGATTTGTTCGCAACCTCAAATTATGATTTAGGGCGGACCAATGTAGTGAAACGCAAAATAACTACTGAGCATACAACACGTCCTATTAAGCAAGCAGATAGACGAATTCCTCTCCATTTATCCAATGAAGAAGTTAAACAGGGCGTTCATCAGTATATATCTGGATGTGAAAAGTGTACTAAGCGAAAAATCCAAATCTTAAGCAAAGAGATGCTATGCAGGTTGTATGATCCGGTACTCCCATAGAAAGAATTGCGACAGATATATCATGTGAGATGCCGGAAACAGATAAAGGGAATCGCCATATACTGGTAGTGTCCAATTACTTCACGAACTGGACAGAGGCATTCGCTCTACCAGATATGGAACCGAAACTGTAGCACGCACAATAATGGAACAGGTACTATAGTAATTGCTAGACTTGGTGTGCCTTCAATAATACATTCTGATCAAGGTCGTCAATACGAGAGCAATTGTTTTCTGAAATGTGTCGGTTACTAGGAATCAAGAAAACACGTACTAGCTACCATCTTAAATCAGAGGGGATGGTAGAGCGATTTAACCGGACATTGCTCTCTATACTGAGTACCTATGTCAAGAAAACCATCGTGACTGGGTTCTTAATCTCCCTTACATACAAGGGGCATTTGAAAAAGTTCTGAGAACTGTATGATAAATATTAATCGTTTAGCGGAATTTAATGAATTTGGTATCATTGAAAAGTCTTTAAAGATCAGAAAAATATACACATATTGTGACGTCACTGTAATTTTTATGACGTAATAACTCCGAAAATGCCGTCAGAATATCGTTTGTTTAGCATATTAACCATAAAAATGACGTAAAAGAGACACTATTTCAGCGAAATAAAAATTTTTAAGTCAACTTTTGCTCATTACTTGGATGCACGCTAACGGACACAACTGTCAGCTGGGAGAATGTTTACGTAGACTACAGTCTATCATTTGGAGTTTTATTCAGGACCTCCAATAGTTCTGAGGTGGTTTCAAGAGTGTGTCAAACATAGCATGTTATTATCGAATTTCGCTCAAAATATTGCGTAAAAAGGATGTTGCTGTGAGAAAATGACTAAGTTGACAATCACAAGAGAATAGTGGACGGTGTTAAAGAATTTGCTGGCATTAATTTGTCAGGTGTTTTAACCAATTTTGCGGGATTGATGAAAAAAAAAATGGCGGCAGCGGCAAGCAGCAGCTGAACTGCGCGCGTACTGGCGAATCAGAAACACATGGTGTATT